AGGTTTGTGCTTGTCAGCAAGTAGGAATGCTGCAGAAAACCTCTGACAATGATGTCATGTTCTAAAAATAACAGGTCTTTCTTGTTCAGCTTGCATACTGTTTTCTGCAGAAGCTGCTCAGTTTTAGCAGTATGTAACATTGTGGCACAATGCCACATCCTCTCCTAACCAGACATACCTTGCAGCTATTCATATGCATTTTTTTGCTGACCTTTTGGCATCATTAGGTCAGGCCTTGTATTTTCAGTTGTTTTTTGAGTTGTTATTTGTATTATAGTACTATTTGTCTGTACAGGACAAGACAGGACAATCAGGCTTCTATTTATGCCTGTAGTTTAGTTCTTCAAAGTATATTAGGCAATATAGTAATAAGATGACTTACAGAAAAATTAGTTCAAATTTAGGTTCAGAAAGGCAAGATGCTATGGGAAAACATTAGGGGAAATTTGTAGGCAATTAGAAGGCTATACTGACTCCTAACAGTGCAGATGGAGTCCTAGCTGTACCATGTTAGTTCCAGTCCGGTTTCAGAACTGGAATTAAATGGCAGGTTCTTAGTATTATATTATTAGTAATGTAAGTAAATGTAATTTCCCAGCTTTGTTGCCCTTTTCTGGGCATGCCCAAGTGCCTCAATTTCTTTCCTGCAGTGAGGTTCCCAGAGCTGGATCCAGGATTCAAGTTTTGGCCTCACCAGTACAGAGGGGCAATCACTTCCCTAGACCTGCTGGCCACAGTACTTTTGATACAGGCCAGGATGCCATTGGCCTTCTTGCCCACCTGGGCATACACCAGCTTATATTCAGCTTCTGTTGACCAGCCTCCCTAGGTCCCTTTCTGCTGGACCACTCTACAGCCACTCTTTCCCATCCTGTAGCAATGCATGGGGTTGTTGTAACTGAATTGCAGGAACCAGCCCTTTACCTTGTTGAACCTCCCATCGTTGATCTCAGCCTGTCTCAGTCAATCCAGCCTGTCCAGATCCTTCTGCGGAGCATTCCTACCCTCCAGCATATCAACACTCCCACCCAAGTTAGTGTCATCCGTGAACTTACCGAGAGTGCACTTGATCTTCTTGTCCAGATCATCAACAATGATATTAAATAGGACTGGGCCTGATACTGAGCCGTGGGGAACCCCATCAGGGACTGGCCCCAGCTGGATGTGGCACCATTCCCCACCACTCTCTGGGCCCAATCATCTAACCAGGTCTTTCCCAGTGAAGACTGCATCTGTCCATGCCATGGGCTGCAGCCTCTCCAGGAGAATACTGGGGGACACTTAGGGACAGTATCCTTACAGAAAAAGCTTCCAGCAATCTACTGTTGCTTGACCTACTGTCATAGGACCTACTGTTTAAATGTTAGCAGGCAGCCCAGAATGTTCCAGATGTGCCAGACCCATCTTGTTTGGTACACAAATAATGGTCAGAAATGCCCTAAGGGGCAGCTTTGAGGACTGCACTGCTTTGTTAAAACTAACATGATCCTTGTTTCAGCAAAGAGGAGTAAGTTTTGTTCAGCTTCCTCATGGAGCAGCTAAACTTCTGTGTGAGACTCTTCTTTATCTTCATTCACTTGCTTGATATAAGAAAAATTGTGTAACAGTGGCTGTACTGTTCTAGCAATAGTTCCATCCTGTACTGGGAGAGCATACTTCCATGAGAGAGAACTATGTTCAAGATTGACTCCCCATTTTATTTTCTGCATTGTGTTAGGTTCCTCTTTTCCTGCTTACTGGGGAGGTTACTTTAAAATGAGCTGAATGGCCCAGTAGCAGAGTGTTATTTAAAACTAGGTTGAAATAGAGGTCTGTGCATCTTACTTTCCAGAGCAAACCTGCCCTAACATGTTCCAGAAAATATTTTGAGTATCAGGCTTAAAAGAACCAGAAATTGTTCAGTCATCTTTCTACTATCCAACAGCAAAGCCTTCACATACTCTTCCTGTGCCTGTTCTGTAGAAGCTTTGTCTTAGTTTAATGGTAGATTGGTATTTGTTAACTCAGCAAATCTCTATGCTGATTTTTTATCTAGAGATTTTACTTTTAACTTTAGTATAACCTTAGATTGTTAATACTAACTCCTCAGTTTTGAAATTTCTGTTTCTTGTGAGCAGTTTCTGAGGCTGATATCTAGGATTTATCCTGACATGTCTCTTAGCTGAACTCTTGCAAGTATAATTTTGGAATGTTGAAATTGTCAGCATTTGAACTATGCACTAAAACAACGCTTCCTTACTATGGTAAAGCAAAGATTTATTTTTTTTGAAAGTAATTCCTGAAACAAAAAAGAAATCCTAACAGTATTGTGATATTAGATTAATATAGTGACTTCTGAGATGAATTTCTGATGTTTTACAGCAGCAAACACAAAACAGTGTCTTTATGCCTTATGAGTGGTTTATTAGGCATGCTGGAACTAAGGTAGTTTTTTAGTTAAAGTAATGCCAGTGGACAACATCGGACAGTCAGCTGTGAGAATATCGTTAGGTGTGTGAGGATATGGATGATGCATGTTGGTGGTAAGCACATCAGGTCTCAAAGTCTGCAGTGATCTCTTGCAAGTATCACTCTAAGCCTCTCAGGGGCCACAGGTTCTGGCTCCAGGTGTCCTTTTTGGGAGACACTAAGCATGTGTGTGCATGCAGGGAACTTGTGCTTCTCCATGGAAAACAGTGTCAGAGGAATGGCAAAATTGAATTTGGGTGATGACAAACAAGCCAGGACTGGTTGAAACTGTACTGACTGTCAGTATGTCTTCTTTGAAATAAAGAATATTTTTGATTGTTTCCAGCCTTCTGGAGGAGAGGGGAAATAGAAGAGAAGGTGGCTCAGGAATGACATCTCATTGTCAGAATATATTCCCTTTTCTCAACAGTTTAAATATAGCATGTCAGCATGAGTATTTTATATTTACCAAAATATATTTAGGCTCGCATTTATTTGTTCTTCTTTTAATACATCCTGTATTTTTGTAGGTTGGAAATAGATAAGTTGCATTCTAATTTTTCTTGAAACATTGCAGAATTCTGGCATTATGGAAGTCGACGTCCAAACTGTCAGAGACTTAGGGCTAAGCTTCAGAGTGCAGTTTAACATAACCAAACAAATAACCAACATTATCTAACTTCACATATTCTGGGGAGATGACCAGTGGAGAGTGATGTAATCTCATTTTATAGCACTGAAGACTCATCTGTTGCTCTGTTAGTGAATTTCTAAGTGCAGCACACAACACATGTGCTTTCTAGTTGGTATAATCATAGCACATCTCTCCCTAAAACCTTGTTAAAAGCATAAAGGTGTTAGGTCTTTCTTCCTGCTGTTGTGTTCCTCTTTTCTTCTTTACAAGAATAATTTTATACAGACAGAGAGAAATAGTATAGTGCAAGTAGTTGCATGGAAGTTGATCTCACTTGCTTTTGTCACTAAAGAAGGTGTAAGAATGCACTTGCCTTAAATCTGTTATCAGGTCATAGCACTTCCTCTGATGTACATATTCCTAGGCAGTATTTCACCTGTGCTGTTTTTCAAACATATAGGAGTTGTACTGGATCTAGGAGCTTGATGCACAGTAAGCTGATGAAGTCTATAAAAATTGTGATGTTAGACAAATTATTTCTGGCCTTATCAGCTATGTGAGGTAGTCCTGTCATTCTTGCTATAAAAAATATGTTATTCTGTAAATAGTTATCTGAAATTATAAACTGGACCTGCTTAATGAGCACAATTCAGTTCAGCATGCTTAGCAATAAATATGGTCTCTAATCTTTACATTCAGATTTAAATTAATTTTATTCTAACCAAGCAAAAAATTTCCAGGAGGAATGCATTACAAATCACATCATTGTAAAATAAAGAAGCTATTGGCTTGCGTGGACTGAACTACAATCATATCTTTTAGCAGTGGACTTATTAGATGAATGTTTCCACAGTGAACAAATAAACTATGGCTATTGTCACAGAGGACTAATAAAATGGAGGACCTTCTGTGATACAGGGTAAGAAAAGAGCTTCAGAGATGAGTTTGTCAAAGCTGGCAGAAACTAAAAAAGCTATTTTCACATGTGGGAAAAGACCAGTAACATCTCCCTTGTACAGACAGACACAGAAGAAATTGGCAGTTGTGGAACAGTGATGGGTTATCTGAAGGAGGGATTATGTGCTTCCATTTGGAGAAAAACTGAAACAGTGTGAAATGCCTGCTTTTCCTGGGAACTTTGGATTGTCAAATATGGACTAACCCAGTAAAATGGGCTTAATACCCAAATTTCTTTGGATCCTTTGGATTTATGCCTATTTGATTAAAATTTACTTCACAATGTAGTACTTCATGCCTTTTTGTCAGACTGGTACAGAGCAAAAGACCCATGAATGTCAAGTTAAGACTGCCTAAAGTTGAGAAATGGCAGCAGTCATGTGCATTGGGAGATTGAGATTTGTTGGAGTGCTGAGAACACAAGAGTGAGTGAGTACATGATAAAACACATAGAGCAAGGCAGCATGGCATATACTACTTTATTCTAATTACCTTCTTTTACTATTGAGTGTCACTTTGCCCTATTAAGCTTCTTTTCTGTAAGTCACAGTAGCAAAATAGTTATTTCTGTGTGCACATTTCAACATGGTAACAGTAAATTCACTTTCATGTTTAGAGGGAATAAAATGTTAGGTTTGTATCTAAATTACTAAGTTTTTGAGTTTTTTTTCCCAAGGTGAAAGACTGTATGAACTTGCATTTTTAAACTGAGAGAGAGAATCAAATATTGATTTCTCTTTCTGCTTTCATAGACTTTCCTCACAGTATCTGTCTTGGTTCTGACAGGTAGAGATTTACTTAAAAAAATTATTGTTTTGTTACATCACAGAATAAATATCTACACTTCCAAGAAAGTAAAATTACTAGTTAGCACTGCCAAAATAATTGCTTCTTCAATTTCTTTCAACTTTAATTGAGAATTTTTTTTTTTGTTAATTTCTCTAAAAACTTGTTTTTCCAGATTATCTTTAAGAATTGAGCCAGGTAACAGCTCTCCTCGACTGGTTTCCTCCAAAGAAGATCTTGCAGGTATAAAACAACATTTGAAAATTTGAGTAAGGAAATAATTTTAATTACAGAAATCCTCCACTAAAGTATATGGGAAAACCCAGAGGTACATCAGTAGCATGAGTCAACAAGAAAGATTGCTGACTTGTATAAAAGCAGTTCCAGTTCAAGGGATGTCACAGGGTGTTTGCTAGTGTTGGATCAAGTGTCAGATTGTGGGATTTTTTTTACAAATGCTTGCATTTTTGTCATTATTTAATAAGTGAATAAAAAAGAGCCCTCTTCCAGTACAAAACATACCAATGCAGTGAATAACACAGGAAATTCTCCTTTGAGGTTCCTGTGTGATCACATACATTTGAGACAATTTCATTGTGGAAAGCAGGACAAAAATTTGTATCAACAATAGCTTCTAGCAAGATCTGAAAAACAAGAGTACCATCCATATGTTGACAAAAACTAATCTGCTGTTTCTTGCTATGACCAGAATAAACAAACATCGGGCTGTGTGAGATATACTTCCTGTTATAGGAGCCGTTATCTCAAAAGCTGTTCTGTTTTAGTCTCTTGAACCTGAATGGCCAATTTTCTGTCTCATTATGTAAAACCATGTGTGAATGTAAAAACTCCAAGTCCAGACCACATCTGACATGCAGTTTCAAATGGCATTCAAAATGTCTTTTTTTTCTCACCGATGAAAGTAAAGTAAATGAGAGAAAGAAGAAGGAAGATGCTAAATATAAAACAAAGAGAAATCCCATGGGTTTTTCCTCTGCCTTCCAGCTCTTTATGTTGGCTGCTGTCAAGTGACCTGTCATTTATAGGGAACCTCTTGTTTGTCCTAGTATTGTGATTGCTATTCCCAGAGTCAGATAAACATTTGACCTGGTCTTCAATTTCTTTAGGAAGGTGCTTTCCCTTTTCCTGCTTAATGCTCAGTATTATTAATTGCTGTGTTAAACATAAAGAAATAGTTCATAGGATTTTTTTTTATTAACCAGATGAGTTCAAAAGTAGTTCTTTATGAATGCTTTCTTCATACAGAAATGCATTTGGAAGTTAACTTCCTCACAGGAGCCATCACAGTGTTGTACTCTGTATCTGTGTCTGGAAAGGTGTTGAGAAGGCTTCTGTTAAGCAGTGCCCACTGCATCAAGGCTATCTCTCCAAACCCAACCCCCTGCCAAAAAGACCGGTAGGCTGGGGATGGGCAAGAGGTTGGGAGGGTGCATAGCCAGGATGTTGATTGAAGCTGCCCAAAGGGATCTTCTATACTATATGACACGCTCATCAATAGAAGTTAAGAGAAAGGGGTGGGGGAGGGGATGGGGGGTGGCAGCGAGGCATTTATTATTAAGGTGTTTGTCTTCCTAAGTGTGCACTACAATGCTTGGGTTAGTCCATGGCTGCTCACTGCCTACTGATGGGAAGTAGAGGATAAATTTTTCTTTTCTTTTGCTTCTGTACACAGTCATTGCTTTCAGTCAACCCACCACATCATGTCACATTTTCTTTTGCTTTTGTGAGGATTTGCTTTTTCATACTAGAGACTTGAAACTAAGTCATTGTCTCTCATATGATTATATATGTAAAGCAGACAAGTAAACTTCTTTTGTTTTCTGGCTTTTACTTTGTATTACATCTATATGCTCAATCCTTGGGCTTTGATGTTAACACTTCATTTGTATGATTATGGAATATAATTTCAGTCATAGCAGCATAATATGTGATCATTGCCAATACTCTAATTCTTAATCAAGGGCTGAGACCTTATTAGAACTCTAATGGAAGGCAATTAAAAATATAGTTCCAAAACTGGAAATGAGAACTTTAAATTTGCCTAATCCAGGCAAGGAATACAGCATGATACTGCAGTGAGCTCAGCTGGAGTTCACAAAAAATGACTGGGACAATGTTCAGTATTACCTACTTCACTGAATATGTGATCCTATAGTAACTGGCAGTATTAGGAGAGGGTGAATTTTCCCTTCTGAATCATGAAACAGTGGCCTTAAGTGCTCTGTAAGGTTGCTTTACTCAGAGTGAGAACTAATGTGATGACTAGAAAACAAGTGCTGAGTCATCCCTGTTGCTCCATTCTGCTGTTAGTATTTCCTTTGAAAGCTTGACCCTTTTGTGGACTGCTGTATTTCTTGCTCAGCTAGAGAGTTCTTGCTTACTGCCAGTTAGACAATGAATGCCATCAGCATTTCATAGTACCCACAGGAATTTTTCAGTGAGCTGCACCTGTGTGGCTGCAAAATGCTACTAAATGGAATCCAGTACATTTTACTGAAAACTTTATTCCTGGAGAAGGTTTATTAAGTAAGTTAGTATGAATTCAAATTGAAATTTAGCTAAGCATGAAGGCAATAATTTATTATTTATTTAACAACATTAATAAATGGGAATATAGCCATATGTTAGTCTTCAATAATTCTGACTAAAACACTCAAATATTAGTAATGGGATATTTGAACATGGAGAATTAAAAATAACACAATTACAGGTATTGCTGTCAATTTTATTTGAATTCAAATTATACCTGGAAATTAATTTCACTTTGAACATTGTATGCCAGAAGTAAGTCCTTTGCAGTTGGTAAGCTACAATGATAATAGATGATCTCAAAATACCGTGTGCAGTAATTTAATGTTCCAGTCAATAGCTTAAGGCATGGGAGTCTGATAATAATGATTTAAAATTAAAATAAAGGTTCTTAGCCAATAAGGTCAGTCATCAGTTCAGTTGTCTCAACAGTCCAAAAGTTAATACCTTACTAATTGCAATAAGTCTACTTGAGTTCTGCCTGTGACATGCTGCCTCCTTAGAGATCAGCATGTGTTTCCAGGGACAGAAAAAAGAGCTCAATGTCATTGGTAATGACTCCGAAGTCTATAATGGGATTAAGTGCAGAGAATAGTGTCATGTTTGTGTTCTAAAATATAATTGCATGTGTTCATGATGGAAATGGGTTTTACTTGCCAGCTCTGTGAATTTATCTTCTACCCAGTTTTCTGTCTTTAAAAAAAATATTAACAGTTTACTGTAGCCAGAGACATTGTGGGTTTCTTTTTTTCCCCTTGAAATATCTTTATGAGTGTGAGGCTTAATAAAAACAGTTAAATCCTACAGCATTTCTATTTGCAAAGTGCTGGAGAAAACCATGTGTCCATTTTCCACTTATTTTGCCAACTAGTTTTCCAGTAAATTCAAACAGGAGGCAGGCATCTGATTAAAGTGACTGTCTCACAAACTATGTTTCGTATATTAGTGGCTAAGAGGGTCTCATTTAATTACCAAATGTATATTGTGAATAGTGCTTTCACAGGAAGATTTCATGTCTTCATAAAGCTGCAGAGATTCTTGTCCCTCCCAAGTAGCATTTAAGAAGGAGCTTTAAGCAGTTTAGTTGAATGCTTTCAGGAATGGTGTGATTCACACAACTTCCTTGGCAGCAACCTAAGTCTGCTCATTCTGTCTTGCTGTGGCTTGACAGAGAGAGAATGTAGCTGGAGAGCTTATAGTAAGCTAACTGTTCACAGTTTCTAGTTGAATTAGCTGTAAAAGACATCTGTGTTCCTGCAGTGTTACCTGAAAGGTGCTTGTCATTTATGGTATGGCTGTTAGGTTGTTTTGGAAGGTATAACTCAATACATTTTCCCAGAACAAAGGAAAATATTTAATGCAATATATGGTAAATGTAAGCCTTGTAAGCAACTGAAGTTCCTCAGAATTTGCACACTAAGTGTAGCTCAGTAGAGAAATGTTCTATTATGGATACTCTCTCTCATCATGTTATTTGGAAAAGTTCAGGGTGCAGTGCTAATCAGAACAGAAAATGGTTACTCATTCTCTGGAATATAGCATACTTATTCTGTCTTGAAAAACAATATTAAAAAGTTAAATAATGGTAAAATAATGACCATATCCAGAAAATTGTATCTAATACTAAGTGACTCAAAGACCGGTCTTAACAATTCTGTGATTTTTAATGAACCCCTTCATTAAAGTTAACACCTGGCATTAGATTTTATCAACTGCCAGGCCTCTGCTGTGGGTAGCCCTTATTTGGGGGCGTTTGTTACGCAGTAGCTTGGGATGGATCCTCACCCCCTCCTTTTTCTTTTTTTTTTTCTTTTTGTTTTTTTCCCCCAAGTAGGTCATGGTGTAATTCTTGAGGGGAGAATAATTAGACCAGAGGTTTTATGTTACCATCATACCAGGAATGTGGAGTAATTAATCTGAAACAGGTATATTCTCCTCTTTGTTACTGGGGTAAAATTTAGCCTATTGTGCCAAGCCCATTCAGCTTTGACAGCTAGCTCATAACAAACTTAGAATATATATTTTAATTAATTAGAAGAGGTCAATTATTGGATGTAGAGTATATGATATATATAAGTTGAAAATGTAGAAACAGAAGGAAGAAAGACTGGGGATAATTGCACATTTGTGCAAGGGCACATACCCTCTGAAGCAGCTATACTACACTAGTGATATCTCTACAGTAGTTCCAGCATTTTAGAATAAAAAACCCACACACCATCGTTTTCCATGTAAACACTGAGTTTGACATTTAGTTTTGCCATTTGTTTTACAGGTTGCTTTGGCAACCAATAAATAATTTGTACTAAGTGCTTTAGCAGCCAGTCATTCTGTGGCAATGAGGATTGTCTAATCCATGTGCGAGTTCTTGGTCACTGTGCACCATGTCTGCTTTTCTTACAGAGGACTTAGGATAGAAATGGAAGAATTAAGTTTCCTTCACATAAATTTACAGATCATCCAGAAAACTTTACTCTTTGGTTTACTTTCTCTTCCTCTGTGATCCTTTCCTGAGAAACTTTTACAACACACTGGAGTATTTTTGAAACAAATCCATACCAGACAAATCTGTGGATTCACATGTTATCAACCACTAAATCCAACTGGAATTAGTGTGCTGTGGGTTTTCTCTTAACATGCCAAAACCTCACAAAAATTGTAGAAGAATGTTCTGTCAAAACAAATGCAAAGTT